CCAAGTGTCCTTTCAGTACTTTTTATAAGTTGGCACCACTACATTGAATCATTAGTAAAAAATAAAAGCTTTTGAAATCATTTGGCATAAAAGCGAAAGTTAAATCTACTACCAATTAAAAACAAAAAGTCTTTATTTTAAACCGCACCCATTTATAGGGTGGTTCAACCTCACCCTGCTTTGTTATAAAATAAAAGACAGGGAGTTTCTCTTGCTACTGAATAACAGTTGTTCGTAAAAGGTTGATAACAACGTAAGAATGAATGGATGCGAATGATCTCTGAGTTCAAATAATGCCTTTTATTTAAAATTTTTAATGAAAGACATTTAATTGTTGGGTGTTTGCCGAGAACTTATTTATTATAAATGGCCGTATAAAAACAGACTATTGTTTTTTTTTCCTCTCTCGGGCATTTATTGTCCTATTGACTCTTTTAACCAAGAACTATATTTTTCTTTGGTCATAGAATTGTCTTTAGTGTTCGTTTTAACTGTATTTTAGAAAAAATTGCAATTGCAGCTGTAAATAGTTTTAGTATCTAAATATTTATCATCAATTAAAGATTATAATTTAATAATTTTTAAGTTGAACCATATTATTTTTAGAGAAAGCAAAAAGAACAGAGGGATATTTTAAAAATTTATCGCGAAAGAACGTGTTGAAAAAACATGTAGAAACATGTTGTAATTTCATTTAAGGACATCATTAATATTGAAATATGCAAAGTGATCGATTTATAAATGTTTAAAAACATGCAAATTGATCCATTATAAATGTGTAGAAATAAGCAATTTTATCCCTTATGAATAAATTAAATTTGTAACGAATCAAACTACATTAAAAAAAAACAGTTCTTTTTTATAAAAATACATTTATTTGACAATCACATATAAACTAAGCAAAATTAAATTAAAATACTCGTAACGTGTAGTAATAACCTTGCAAAATAAATGGAAGAACCAGTTAATGGAAGTAGCTGTTTAGTATGAACCTTAAATTCAAAACAAAAACTATTCTCATGAAAATCAACAACTTTCTGATGTCTCGTTCTTTTATTTTTAATTTATCTCATTACATGTTTTTTTATTCATGCTTTTGCTAGCCAGATATAGTTTATGATATTTTTATGCTCTGTAACTTAGAGAACATTATAAATCAGTCGAAATTAGACAGTTTATTGAATCTGTTAAATTTATAATTAGATCCATTATGATCAATTGAAATAGGTAATTTGATACCTTATAAATAGGTAACAATATGCAGTCTTGGTAAATGTTTTGAGGCATACAAATTGATATAATATTTTTTTTTCCCTAATGGCAGGCACTGAATTTGAATCTTAGCCTATACTATGCCAGAATTGTTGCTCATTTCGCGTTACCCAGTGGGCACCTGTGGACCACAGGGTCGGAGGCGAGCAACATTGCCCACGCCACACTGCCACAAACCCGTTTATAGGGTGGGCCACATTCACACATCATACACACAACAGAGGACAGCACAAAGAGAGAGAGAAACATCCATGCCCAGAGCGGGATTCGAACCCGCAGCCTATGGCTTCGCAGTCAGGCACGCTAACCGCTCGGCCACCTGGCCGGCAATTGATATAATATGAATGCGTTGAAATAGGTAATTTTATCCGCTATAAATGCGTCGATCTAGACAACTTAATCCATTGGAAAAATGTAGAAAAACAATTCAGATATACAGTAAAATCCCGCTATAGTGAACACGGTTTATACTGAATTCCCGGTTATAGTGAACGAAATGTTCGCTCCCTTGCCTTGCTACACACATATAATGTTATTTTTTGTGGAACCAAAAAAAGAGAGGAAGTTGGATGTAATGAACTTTTTTCTGTCTTCAACTGATTTATTTTCTTTATTTTTTGTAATAATTTTGAAATGTCTACTTCAAAATAAATACGTATATCGATTTTTAAAACCATCTATAGCGTGGAATGCAGCAATAAGCATTTTTTCTTGTTTGCCTCATTACTGAATGGGTTCAACATTCAAAGAAGCCGCAATCTTCCAGTATTTGGACAAATGGTTAATTTTTGTATTTCATTTTATACGTCACTTATTTAAATGGTGTCATGCAATAAATGGGGGAGTTTGGAACAATTAGCTAAAATTGTTTGCGGAACAGATATAGTGAAGCACCGGTTCTGGTGAAACGAAATTCTGTAGTATAAATATGTAAAAATATGCAGTTTTATTAGCGATAAATATTTTGAAATAGGTTTTTTTGTCCTCTAATAAATGCATCGACATAGACAACTAAATTATTTCTGAATATGTAGAAAAACAATTTAGATATAGTATAAATATGCAAAAATATACAGTTTGACATTTGGCAAATATTTCGAAGCATAAAAATTGATATAATATGAATTTTTTTGAAATAGGCTGTTTTGGAATAGGCTGTTTTGTCCACTATAAATGTGCTGTTAAATCAATTCTGAATGTGTAGAAAATCAAATTAGATCCATAATAAGTATTAAAAAAATGTATAATTTTATTCATTAAGAATACGAAGAGATATGCAGTTTTGTCTTCGATAAATGCGTAAAAATAGGTAATTTATTTATTATCTAGTATTATCTAATAAGTTCATAATAAATGTTTCGAAACATACAATTTTATTCATTTTGATGTGACAGAATAGGTACGTATATTCATTATAAATATGTAAATGTTCATTATATATATTAGAATTAGTGCAGTTTAATAAATTATAAATAATTCGAATCTAAGAATTTCGAATCAAAAGTATTAACATTGATTTAGAGTAAATATTTTTGTTTTTATCTTTTTTTTTATGTTAACCCTTAGGCCGTGGGAAGTATAATTCCCACCAAATTCATCAAACTTTAAAATTTCCATGTAAAGCTTTCTTCCCACCTATGATTTTCGCGGCTATTTGCTTATAACTTCAGAAAATAGAAAAAAATATTAATGAAAAGAGCTTTGTTTTTTTTTAAATGTTAGCAACAGTAAAGGTTTGCGTGGAGCCAAGAGGAGACTTTGACATCCTGCGGGTATTGTCTCTTGTATTTTATTTAGTCGTTCATTTAATCCAGGGGTCGCCAAACTTTTTTGATCATCGACCCCTATTTAATTTTTCGAAATCTCCATCGACCCCCATAAAAGTAATTTTCTGCTGATTAAATTTAAACTATTAGATACGTGTTTGCACATTTATTTTATGATTTTAAACATTTATTAAAGTAATTACACATTGTGTAACAATAGTTTTATGAAAAATATATTAATGTTGAAATTTAAATACCTTAATATTTATTAAAAAATAAGCAATTTTGAATAAGTAGAAATAATAAGTAAAGTAACTAAAGATTTATTGCTTCTTAATCAATGGGATGGGTGTGCCTGGTGTCTTTTGGCAAGGTTCGCTATATTGGGTTCAAAATTGGTCAATTTTGTAATTTTCGTAAAAAATTACACAGAGTGCTATAGTTTGCTCACCTTCTTTTCTTACATGCATTGATAATTAAAATTGATATCTAAACTAAACGAATGGTTTTATCAAAACAATAACTAATTATCCAAAACTATAAAAGTTTTAATGATGATGACACTGCAAATATTCAACACTGTTCACAGTTTGCAAAGATAGCTGAAACTGCGTATGATATTTGCGTTTGTAACGTCAATGCTCGTCACACGTGACATTTGGACAAGCGCACAAATGCATATGACTTATAAACTGTGCTGAGTTCGTTCCACTACTTGCTGGTACGTAAATACTTGTTCCACCCGAATAAAATATACGTTTATTAATTTATGTTTTATAAAGAAACTGATATTATGAAAAAATTCACAAATTTTACATACTCAATTAGGTATGTGTGATTTGTGTATAAAGAACTGTTTTTTCTTCGATCCCCAATCGACCCTTCCTATTCGGATCGACCCCCATTCGCCCCCCTGTCTCAGATCGACCCCCGCTTTTGTTAAATAGACCCCTGGGGGTCTATATAGACCACTTTGGCGACCTCTGGTCTAAAGCAACATTTTTATGTGTAGTTAATAGCATTTAGAAGCATTAATTGTACAAGTATTATATAATCATTTCTTAGATATTATTCTTGTACTCTTACCTGTTTGAAATATATGAAATATTTGTACAGACAGAATTAAAGTTATGTTACTACTACACGAAATGTAACTTACGCTATGCAGAAAACCCATTCAAAACAATGTGAGTTACTCTACTTGAATCCAAATATTAACAGTTAAATTTAAGTTAGAATATAAAAGTAATTAAGTGTATATAAAAAGAGTTAAGCATTTCTTTCAAAATCAATACCTTTTATTGCAAAAGAGCCATTGTATTAGCAATTGCTTTATAAAAAAGAATTTTATTTTTTTAACACGTTCACGCTAGATTGTCTCATCGGGCGGCGCACCGGAGTAAAAACTGGTAACAAATAAATTTCATTTTTTTGTTCTTTCCCGGGAATAATAAAAATCTATAACTACCAATTGTTTTTAACGGATGCAATTTTTATATTGAATTGCTTCTTCGCCGTGATAAATTACCTTACAGTGAATTGTTATTGTTGATAATGGATTAACTCCTCCCGAATATTATCTAAGATTGAAATAGTTCTTCTACCAGTACTTTCTCTTTTCCGGAGCAACACCCGGCGTGAACGTGTTAAGTCAAAATAATATTTGAAATTTTGAAAGACCAAGTATCTGCAGAAATAATCATTCCAGTTTATAAACTCATCATCTGTGAAATTAAAAGAATATTCAATATGTAAGACATTATACAGAAATGATATCTTTATATTATTTGATATCTATGAACTGAGAAATTAAACTCATCATGCTACTTCAATTACTGATTGATTACGTATAATAAGTAACAAGTTTTAATGCCTCTATTAACATTACTAGCTCAGCACTAAACACTAATAACTATATCATATAAATTAATCAAGCTGCTTTGAGACTGACTTGCATGTATTGATTGCCCTCATCCCTCTGTGACTTGTAGATTTTCACTCTGCTCTGGACGACGAGCCATCGCTTTGTCACACTGTCTCGGATCTCGAGTCTGGAGGTCCTGGTCAGCCAAGATTTACAGTTCCACTAAAAGCTCAAACATGTGCAGGTATGTATTGGCGAGTCTTATAAGAATTATATAATCCCATATACGGGACATATAATAATATAACTTAAGGAAAATGTTTGGTATGATGAATTTCAGGTATGGTTTCAGGCTGTAGCTTAACTCACTAATCTGCTTTACACTAATAGAAATAAAGGGAAATTTAATAAATATTAATTTTATTGCTGCTTTTTGCACAAGTATAGATTGGAAAAAAAATTTCAAACGTAATTATGATGTTTTGTTTCGACCGAAAGCTTGCTATCAAGAAATTTTTTTTCTAGAGTCTTAAGAAATTCCCCAAAGTGATCATTAAAACCGTTTTCAAGAGATTTTTTTTTTATCTTGACTAAAATTAAAAAAAAAGGGTAAAAAATTACCTTTTTTCCAAAAATGCTTTTTTTAAAAATTTATATTTTAGTAAACAAAGATATGAATTCTAACGCCAAGTCAAATTATTCCTTCACAATTATTAGATTGTTTTAGTTCTTGCAAGACACATTTGATGAATCTTCTAGGAAATTGTCTTACGAGTTTTCAATAGATTTCCTTGATATTTTCTATTTGGCATTTTCTGCTTTTTTTTATTCTAGATTCATTTTTACCTGATGTTAATTTTGTTCTCTTTTTATTTATAATTCATTGGAATTATTTATCAGGCACCACAAGAAGTCCATAAGTTGCAATTACAGGGCACCAGAATAATTTTCCCAAAATCCACAATTCTTATTTTCGGGGAAGCTCCTTCACAATTATTGGTTTGTTTTAGTTATTGTAAGGCGCACTTGATGAATTTTCTAGGAAAGTGTCTTACGAGTTTTAAATAGATTTCCTTCATATTTTCTGTTTGCCATTTTTGTTTTTAGATTCATTTTCACTCGATGGAAAGCATTGCAGTATCTCAGGTAGATAATAATTTGCAATTACAAGACACAAAAATACTTTTCTCGAAAAACACAATTGTTATTTTTTAAAAAGTTCATTAATAATTATTAGTTTGTTTTAATTATTGCAAAACGCACTTGATGAATCCTCTAGGAAAGTGTCTTACGAGTTTTAAATAGATTTCCTTCATATTTTCTGTTTACCATTTTTGTTTCAAGATTCATTTTCACTTGGCGTTATTTCTGTCCGCTTTTTTATTTCAAGTTCATTCGAATTTCTTATGCTGTACAAGTAGACCATAATTTGCAATTACAAGGTACCAGAATAATTTTCTCCGAAGCTGATTTAATATGGAAGGAAAGAAAGTAACAATTAATGTTAAAAATTCAGGTGCCAGTTACAATTTTTTGAACTCCATGACGATTTGTATTTGTATAATCCTGTTGTCATGAATTTATATTAATTTTTATTTATGCTTTTCAGAGGGAATGGAAGCTGTCTTAGAATGTGAAGTTTGTGCTAATCCGGAAGTAAATGTTGCATGGCTAAAGGACAATTCACCTCTTGCTACTTCCAGGAAAGCTATGTTAGAAGCAGATGGTGGAAAACACCGCTTATTAATTAAAAAAGCCGAGTGCGCTGATTCTGGTTTGTACACAATTATTGCATCGAACATCCATGGTACAACATCGTGTAGTGCTCCTCTCACCGTAAACTCAGGTACAATTTGTTTTTTAGATTCTAAAATTTAAAAACTGAATTTGAATAATAATGATGCATACCTAAGCTAAATACATGTAATTTAAAAAAAATTCACAAGTGAGTGTAATAGCAACAAATATTACAAATACAGTAATTAAAATATAATATCTGTTGAATTACAGTTTTACATCTTTAAATAAGGAAATTAATTTTCTTTAATGAATTACAAAATTAGTTTGCAAGTATGCTAAGAATAGTGTTTAACATTTAAAACTTAGTAAAAATTATTTTAAGTAACGTTTTCTTTCTTTCTCTCACTTTTTTTATTAAATTGAGATTTATCGTAAAAAAATGTATTTTTAGTCTTATTTTACTCAACAACGTTAATTAACTGGATCAAGTTCTTAAATTTCTGCAATTTTAATAAAATGTCTTAGAGTATTCTCGGATCGAAAGAAGGTTCCAATTGCAACAAACAATCGACAACTGAATAAATCCTGTATTTTCGGAGTATACTAAACCACCAATAATCGCACCTGCCAATTTTTACACATTTTGCGCAAAATTTTATTTTTACGTTTAAAGCGATAGTAAAATGTATATTTGCCATTTATTACTTGCAAATATAAATTTAATTTATAATGATTTCAACCACCACTACTTTTTAAAAAATAAACATATATAACAATGTGTGATACTCATTATAAGTTATATGTAAACTTGCTAGTTACTCTCACGCATTTAGAGGAAAACTTTATTTTTATATTTACAGTAGTAGTAAATGTATGCTAACCTTACTTTTATAAATTTAATTCTTAGTGATTTAGACCATCACTATTCTTAATAAAAATTAATCATATATAACAATATGTGATACTATCATGGTTGTCTGCTTAAGAGCTTTTTAAAATAAATCGTACTGTTCTGCCTAAAAGTATCTTTCCATTTCACTACAACTGGGAAAAATGTTTTAAATTACATTCTTGCTTATTAGATTGTATCTAAATATAATTTTTTTTAAAAAGCTCCAGCATCTTTGCCACCAACTACACCAGATGGCAGTGTAATGTCTTATGGTCCTATATTTCGTGAAAAGCTACGAGATACTGAATTACAGGAGGGAACTGACTTTAGAGTGTGTGTTATAATTGAAGGGGAACCAAAACCCAGTGTAAAATTGTAAGTTACGGTCTGTAATTCATAAAATTTCAAAATTTGAAATGAAAATTTGAATTTTCAAATAAGAAGTGTCAAATATTTTGTTCGTAATTATTTTTCATTAATATAAATATCTTTAACATAATAATTATAATAATAATAATAATAATAATAATAATAATAATAATAATAATAACGAATCTTTTAAAAATGGTACTCGAATGTAATTTTTTNAAAAAGTAATTCACATAATGTTTTATTTACTTAAGTCAAAAAAGAATAATGACGTTTTAATATTATAAAAGATGCGTTTGTGAGCAAATGGTTTCACGATACAAAAAATACTTCAATCTCACAAGTAAAATCAACTAAAAGGATGGGATTTGAGCTTAGAATTTGAAGCAAATAAAATACAGATGGTTAAAAAAATAAATACGAAATATTCTACTCTAACAGATGGATAATACAGATGGGAAAAAAATAAATACGAAATATTCTACTCTAACTCTATATAAACTATCTATCTTTTAGCAGCAAATGTTTCGGAAGATTTTACATGAAAAACTGTTGATACAACTTGAGACCTCATGCTTGATGCTTTTAGAAATGCTGTCATTTTTATCCACTCAAAAGTTGGATTCACCAAAATGAGGAAAGAAAGTTACAAACTGCTTTCTAGCTTTAATATCAGCAACATTTATTGTATAGAACATTGACTCATTATATAGGATTGTATAGGTCTTTGATATTGTACAGGACTGTGATATTTACACGAGAATAGTTTTAAAATTCTATGGTGTTAAAAAGGATAGAAGCATTAAAATCTCTACACTTAGTTTGGTGATGCAAATTTTGCATGGGTAAAGAGTAGACCAATTCAAAAAATTTCAAGCATAATCTTTCAAATTGTGCCAACAGTTTTGTATTGTAAAATCTTCCAAAAAATTTGCTGCTAAAGGAAAGATTGTTTACATAGGGTTAGCATAGAAGTATTCGTATTATTTTGTCATCCATATGTATATTCCGTAAAAAATATAAACCCTTTTTCCAATTATCTTTCGAAGAAAAAACGGTTTGGGGAACAAATTTTGTTGGAAGTCGGAGCGTAAACTTAGGTAGTGTTAGGAAGGAATGTCATGATATTAGTATCCTTATTAAATTAATCTATGATATATACATTATACCAACCATCTTCAAATGGCTGTTGATGGTTCAGAAGATAGAGCGTTCGCCCCTATTACGTGACCAGGATTCGTATCGCAGCAATGGCTGGCACATATGAAATCCGCATCCGGTTCGCGTCACCCACAGCGCTGACGAAAAATATATTCAGTGGTAGACGGATCATGTGTTAGAGCCACGTTGCCGTCAGGCTAACTGTTTAAGGATTTCGTGGTTTTTCCTCTCCATGAAATGCAAATGTCGGTTAGTTCCATCAAAATGTCCTCCACGAATTCAAATTTCTCTTAATACTTGTTGCAGGAGTTCCCTTGTCTTCTGAATTGTGTTCAAAATTATAAAGCTATGGAGGTAAACATTAGTAGTCGTAAATTCAAAATTGGGTCGGTTGTTCCTCGACGGTTATAAAATAAAATGGCTTTTGAGTCTATTAATTATTTTATTTATTTTAAAAATATACAAATTCGTTTATTTAGTTATTTTTTAACCAATTTTATATAAAAAAAATACTACTTTAGAAATATCTAAGCTGACGTCACTTAACTCAGTTGCTTACTGAAAATTTATCAATAATCAAACATTTTCTAGTTGCAACCAATTTGAACACGTTTCAATGTAAAATAGGGGAAACAATTGGTTGCCATTAATGGCTACAATATTACGACGATTGATTGAATGATAACAGTGATATAGTTCTACCTATGACTTATACATTTCTAAAGTGGTAAGCTTTTCAGACTTCCAAAGTGTTTTCTTTTGAATTATTTATGTGTTTTAAAAGTAAATTAGAATAGTTAAAACTAATGAATCTGTTTCAGTTTGAGTAATGAATGATGAATAAATGTTTTTATGCAGTTATAAAGGTGATGAAGAAATCAGTAGCACTGGACGAGTTCGTTATAATAAAGAAAATGACGAATGCTACGAACTCATCATAGATAAAGTGAAGAAAGAAGATTCAGGAAAGTACTCATGCGTTACCAAGAGTTCAGCTGGACAAAATGTATCCGCCTGTGACATTGGCGTAACGAGTAAGAAATTCTGTAGAATTATTTTATATACCTTATGCAAAGTCTTAGTGAGACAAAAGAATTAGTAATTAGATTTCAACAGTGAGATACAAGGAATCAAAATACATTTTTTAACAATAAAAATCAAAAACGATTGTTCATTTTATTGCTTAAAATCACTAAATTGTTTTTGACGTTATACATTTAAGGGAATCCCTCACTTCTCAAAACAAAAGGAAGCAATATTGTATTAATGAAAATATTAAAACAACATCTTAGTTTCTTTAAATATAAAAAACATTTAACTTAACGAATGTATTACAAAACAGGCTTATTAATTATTTGTGAAATAATTGATGTGCTAATCATTTAAAATTATTCGAATTTATATTGATGTCAGTTAATGATTGTGACTTTTTTTTATTAAATATTCTCAAAGAACAGATAATACATTAATGAATATTTTTAGTCTTAAAAAAATCGTTTTTTTTTCTCATGAGATTAGCTGTACACGTTTATTGATGGTAAACAATAGTTTTTAGATGCAACCAAAATTGTTCATTAAAATTTCAGTTAATATATTTCGAATGGTGTGTTGCTTGCAAAGCATGCCCTGTTTGATACATAGATCATGCTCATAGATTGCATTATTTCTTTAAACTTACAATTGCAAGACAAAAAGGATTTTTGGAATAAATTAAAAGACATAGAGGATTTTTGGAATAAATTAAGTTCAAAAGTTACTCAAATGTTTTCTAAATTTGACATAACTGAAAATTTTATCAGTTAAATATTATAATAAGAAAATGTAATTTTTTATTGGCATAAAAAAATTATTTAAATACAAATAGAATTACCTTAAATCAAGCACTTTTCATTTCTTCACGTAATGTGTTTCATCATGCTTGACTGTAAAAAGCTTTTTCCTATTATTAGGGCCATTATTAAATAAATTTTTATTTAATGCTCAGTTTTCCATGTACTAAAAAGCATTTTTATGGAACCCTGTAAAGGTATGCCAATTACTAATTACAAAATTTGGCATGAAATGAGTTTTCAGTTTAAAAAAAATTAATTTCATAATTAGAGCATAGTAATGAACTTAAAATTTTAGTGTCCTTCTCAGGGTTAAATATAAACCCCTCTGGATAGCTGGGGCCTTCTGTCCCCTTTAGATTTAGTTTAATTTCTCTACAAATTCTGCCGGAGAAAAAAAAGAAAATATCAGTACGAGTTAAAAGCACTTTATTCTCATGAATTTACCAAGAAAAAATAGGACAAAGCACACAAAAAACACACACAAAAAACATGGAATTATCGGAAACTTTACATAAAAAAGGTGTAAATAATTAAAGCAACACATAAAAAACTGGGTATAAATAGAACTTAAAGTTCTTCTGTTGCATGTACAAGTAATAAAATTCAGTAGCATTATTCTTTTCAGGTATTACGGCGTGTCAAAGTTAATTAAAATATTATTTTACGGCCAATAATTAGTTTGCTTAAATCTTTTATGCCAAATAATCTACATATTCAAAGCTGAAATAATAAAATCAAGTATAAACCTTTTTATAATAATTAAAAAATTTATTGTCATTAAATGTCTTGCAATTGTTATTTCAGTAGCTTTTTTCTGCTTTATAACCAGGACCTGGCAGTTCCTGTTTTATTTGTTCGTTTGCATGTTGATTTTGCAAAAACTCTTGTCCTACACAGGTTCAAAGGTATTTGTTGAAATTCATGAAGATCCTGATAGGACTGCAACACCAGAAAATATTGAAGATAATATGCATTGGTAATTTTTTTCATAATTTTTAATGCTATTGAGCAAAAGGTTTTGCTGTGTAAAAAATATAAATATTTAATAATTTTGATTAGTGATGAGCCAATCGATTCATTTAAATGAATCGATTCTTTAGAATCAATTCACTAAAATGAACGGTTATATGAATCGATTCTTTGATTCTTTTTTTAATGGTCATTATAATGGAAGAGTCTTTATAAAAGGTGGTCGTACAAATTAGTTTAGACTGTTTTAGTATTTGAATTAGTTGATCTAGGTCAGGGGCTCTCAATATTTTTCTGCCATGGAACTCTAAACAATTAACGTTCTTTCGGCGGAACACCTGATAAAAGTACTATCTCGTGTAGCCGCTGTAACCTTTCCACGGAACCATAGGGCTTTACGGAACACCAATTGGGGACTATTAATTTAGATCTTAGGCTCTAGGGTGCAGAAGCAGAATATTCCAGTTAAGTGATCAGCCGAATATGGCTAAAAAAAGTGCCAACTAGCGGAGCCCTTGCAGTTCTTGACGGAACTCTAGAGTTCCATGGAACACCATCTGGGAACTACTCTTTTAGATCCTATACTCTAGGGGTCAGAAGTTGAATGTTCTACTTGGGTGGCTATAAAAGTACTATCTCGTGTAACCGCTGTAACTTTTCCACGGAACCATTGAACTTTCCGGAACACCAATTGGGGACCATCAATTTAAATCTTGGGCTCTAGGGTGCAGAAGCAGAATATTCCAGTTAAGTGGTCAACCGAATGTGGCTAAAAAAAGTACCAATTAGCGAAACTCTTGCAATTCTTGGCGGAACTCTAGGGTTCCATGGAACACCATTTGGGAACCACTCTTTTAGATCCTATACTCTAGGGGGCAGAAGTTGAATGTTCTACTTGGGTGGCTATAAAAGTACTATCTCGTGTAACCGCTGTAACTTTTCCACGGAACCATAGGGCTACCCGGAACACCAATTGGGAACCATTAATCTAGATCTTGGGCTCTAGGGTTCAAAAGCAGAATGTTCCACTTGGGTGGTTCAGTTGAATGTGGCTATAAAAAGTACTAACTAGTGGAACCCCTGTAATTCTAAACGGAACCCAAGGGTTCCGCGAAACATTTAGGAACTGCTAATCTAGGCAATGCTAATAATTTTTTTAGAATTTTAATATTTTTATTTTTTTTTAAATATTTGTTTGATTTATCAATTTTATTAAAAAATAATTATTTTTAAAAAAAAATTGTTAATATAAAGACCAATAATGAATAATAAAGATATTCGTAAAAAAATAAAACGGTAAATTCACTTATAATAATGAAAAAAATTCAAATTGTATAACGTGAAACAAAATAAAAAAATAGTTAAATTGCGTTTTAAAACTTAAAAAATTAAAACTTGAAAAAGTGAGAGGATATGAATTGATATTCAATAAGTTTGTCTAAAAGTATTCCTAACAAAAAAAAAAA